ATCCACATGTCCAGCGCAGACAACAGACAATGTCCTACACATCCACATGTCCAGCGCAGACAACAGACAATGTCCTACACATCCACATGTCCAGCACAGGTAACAATGTCCTACACATCCACCTGTCCAGTGCAGACAACAGACAATGTCCTACACATCCACATGTGCAGCGCAGATAACAATGTCCTACACATCCACATGTCCAGCGCCCGCACTGCACCACTCCAATCCCACTAGCTGTCACTCTTCGAGGACTTTAAAATTTGTTCTTCTCGAGCTAGGCATGGGAATCTCAGCAGCAGGGAAGCAGAGGTCACAGGACCATCACAAGTTCAAGGCCAACCTAGTCTATATAAGCAGGTTCTTAGCCAGTTAGGGCTTCACAGTAAGACCCTGTCTCAAAAAACAGAAAAGTAAAAATAAACCCAAATTGCTGCTCTTCAGTGAGATCCTATAAGCAGCTGCTGACTGCCCTATTTGTAGCAGCTAAGTGAGGTCAGAGGCCTGACCAATGCATAGGCCTAGCACTGCTGTACTTCCAGCACTCGGGAGGCAGAGGCAGGCAGATCTCTGAGTTCGAGGCCAGCCTGGTCTATTAAGTGAATTCCAGGACAGCCAGGGCTACACAGAGAGACCCTGTCTCACGGGGCGGGGATGGGGGGGAATCTAAAGATCTAAAAGGCAAACCCAGGGTCGCCCTCAGAGACCTCGCCTACCAGCCATAGCATCGGGTATACAAGTGAGCCCAAGGGCCTTCCCCAGCTCCCCTGGCACACACACTGCAGGCCTGTCTGCTCCTTTGTGGTCCTCTAACACCCACCGTCCACACCTTTCCCACCCTTCTGCTCCCACCTGTGGATGAATCTGGACTATCCCTGGGACTCACACATTCTCTGAGGGCTCCTCGCTTCCCCAGCTGCGCCTTTAGGATTGAGCTCTGGAGTCAGACCTGGGTTTGGCTCCTGGCTCTGCAGCTGCTGCTGCTGCAGCAAGTCCTAGTCATGGCGTCAGGACTCTCAGCTGTGAGGGCACAGAGAGCACTGCTAACTGTCCCTCCCTACCACGCCTGTTGGGAACATGCTGCTGAGGCGGGAGTTGCAGCCCAACCCCAGGGCTCCTCATCCTTCCTCCCTGGAATGGCACTGGAGCCCCAGGGAGCTGCTATTGGGGAGCAGAGGCTGGGAAGCAGGGCAGGTGCCCTACGTGGCAGGTCTGTCGTAAGCCTCTGCCTAGGCTGCTGGAGCCATTGACAGAGCTCCGGGGAAGGAAAGGGCAGAGCCTCATGGAGCACACTTTCCCCAAGACTCAGAGGTATCACTGAAGGGCGAGGGCACTGAGCTGGAAGGCCTGGGTGTGGAAAGCAGGGGCCTCATGGACCTGACCTCCAATCCTGCTGAGTCCCTGATGGGGAAGAGGGGAAATCGTGGAAGGCAGCGCCAAGCCCTAAACCCAGAAAACAGTGAACACACCCATGCACCTAGTTCTCCGTATCTGAAAACCCCTCTCTCAATATGTAGCAAGGCTGAGGAAGGCCACTGCTTCCCAGCAGCAGCCTCGATACTCGCTCTCATCCTCCACACTGAGGCTCGGCCTTTCTGGCTGCCCACACGCCCTTCTTTCCAACTGGACCATGGGCAGCGGGTCCCTCCCACATGTCCTGTGAGGCCCATGAAGCCTGCTGAGTCCACTCCTGGCATCACAGACCCACGACTTACCTCTGCCGAGCCCCGAGGTGGCACCTGTGACCACCACCACAGCATTCCTCAGGTAAGCCCTGGAGCGGATCCGCTGTAGCACCCGGAAGAGGCTGAAAATCCCCAGGCAGCCAAAGAGCAGGGGCAGGATGGTCGTCTGGGTGACCAAGTCCATGACCCTCTCCTTCAGCATACTCTTCCTGGAAGAACCAAGCCAAGTCGATCAGGGACAAAGCAGGAGAAGCGGGGATTGGTCAAAGCTACGCAGACCCCACTCCAGCCTTTCCATGTAATAACTAGGATGGGAGGAGACTGGGGCTCAACCCGGCTGGGTTGAGGACTTGGGGAAATTTTTTTCTCACTACAATCTCAGCTCCTTGTACCAGGTAAGACTCGGTGTGGAACGACCCTGCCTTGTCCAAAATGGCCCAGGAGCTGGTCATTTCCCAGATAATGGGAAGATGGGCGGGTAGGGCCCCTGCTCAGGGAAGGACAGCAGAGCTTAGCCTCTGGGACATGACCCAGAGCTTTGCTAGGCTTATTAACTGGAGCCCACTCTGCACACCCTCTCATGGGACCCCCAAGGCCACAAGCAGCAGAGTCTCAGCCCCCTTTCAAACCCACAATGTGGAAGTGAACCACAGCTGCACTGAAGGCCACAAGGGCAGAGTATCGAGAATTACTCAGTGGCTCCAGGAACTCACAGACGCCAGAAGTGGTGCGGCAATAGCAGTGCAGAGCCCTGAAGAACCAGCCAGGGGGGTGGGTGGGGCGGGGGTAGGGGTGGGGGCACTCTAATCCCACTGGCGCTTCCAGCTTAGGCCTTTGTCCTCCTCGCTCAGGCCTGTTAAGAGGCCTGATGAACTTTCTTTGTGCATGGCTCGGGGCACATTCATGGGATGCAGCTGCCAGCAGGAGAAGCAGCCTCATGCAGAGCCACCTCAGACCTCAGAAACTCGCTTCACAGCAAACAGATTCTAAGAGAGACCTTGGAAACACTCGTTCTTTCCAAATGCAAGAGACTTACTGAGTAGCGTTCAATGAAGTTTAATTTTTGTACCTGCATAGATTAGTTTAATTAAATGAACAGAATATATTTTGTCACATGCACACAAAAAAGTTTGCATCCCACCAGGCAGTGGTGGCGCACGCCTTTAATCCCAGCACTCGGGAGGCAGAGGCAGGTGAATCTCTATGAGTTTGAGAACAGCCTGATCTACAAAGCAAGGTCCAGGACAGGTTCCAAAACTACACAGAGAAACCCTGTCTCAAAAAAATTTTTTTAAAAAAGTTTGCATCCCATGTCTACGTGCGTTTATCCGGACTTCCTTCAATGATGGACTACAACGTGGAGGTATAAGCCCAATAAACCCTTTTCCTCCCCAACTTGCTTTGGTCATGTGTTTCATCACAGTGACAACCCTAAGACACAACCATTTTTCAAATATTTAAATACCCACCAACCTATTCTACACTGCATTGCGCATGACCCCACCGATGAGCCTCCAAGCTGCTTGGGCCTTCCTGGCCTCTCTGAAATAGCTGGATGAAGACAGCCAAGAATATGGGTAATCTCACTGAAAAGAAGAAGGGAATTTGTCTTGGGCAGTCATATTTCCAGACGAGGAAATAAATCTTCTCTATAAAGCAAGGCCAAAACCAAGCCTGTTTCCTTTCAAAGTAGCTCACAAGAGGGCTTTAGTGCATTTATAAAAACACACACGTTATATCCAAATGCATATTTACTTCTAGTTCAGGCTTTGGCTAAACTACAGACCAGGAAGGCAAGAGTGACAGAATGGGATTCCAATAGGAGGCAGAAGCAGAGGCAGTGGGATCTCTGTGAGTTTAAGGCCAGCCTGGTCTATAGAGTGAGACCCTGTCTCAAATAAAAATAGATAGGGTGGAGAGATGGCTCAGTGGTTAAGAGCACTAACTGCTCTTCCAGAGGACCCAGGTTCAATTCCCAGAATCCACAGGGCAGTTCACAACTGTCTGAAACTCCAGTTCCTGGGGACCTGACACCCGCACACAGACATATACGTAGGCAAAACACCAATGCACATAAAATAAAAATAAATTAATTAAAATTATAAATAAATTAATAAGCCCCCCTCCTGGGTGGTGCTGGTGCACACCTTTAATCCCAGCACTCAGGAGGCAGAAGCAGGTGGATCTCTAGGCATTTGAGGTCAGCCTGGTCTACAGAGCTAGTTCCAAAACAGCTAAGGCTATACAAAGAAACCTTGTTTTGAAAAATCAAAAAGAAAAACAAAACAAAAGCCAAAAAGAGGGCAGGGACAGACTTACTTTGCTTTAAGTTTTCCAGATATCAACTGGTAGGAAAAAGGGATAGAGTCTTCCCAGGGCTATTTGACCGGAGCAGGAAACAGGGAGAGAAGGCTTCCTCAAGAGAAAGCACAGTGTGCTCTGTGCTCACAGACCACCCAGGAGGGAGGCTGGGCCGCCTACCACGCAGTCTGCACACGCAGTCACAGCCACTCCTAACCGCCAGTAAGCAAGGCCGCAGTCTGCACACGCAGTCACAGCCACTCCTAACCGCCAGTAAGCAAGGCCGGCCTTGCACTAATGAGCCATATAAACTGGTGTAAGTGACAGAGCTGAGGGGCTCACAGGCTAAGACTGTCTGCTTGTACGTTAGTGAATTCTCGACCTACAGTGAGCGTGCCTGGGTACCCCTTTAAGGTGTTCCTCGGGCCAGGTGGCCAGAGCTACGAGCTCTCTCAATCAGCAGCTCTCTTTGGCAATGGCTTCTAGAACAGCCACTTAGATATAAAGCTGTGTCACCCTGATGATAATGATCCTTTCAATTACTTTGGTCAAAGTTCACCATTTTAAGTCAATGGGATCTGTTCCTCAGGCTCCTTTATACACTCAAGCAACGTTTTAAAAACCAAATCATCAGTAAAAACGGGCCATTGTAATCTAATCAGAAACTACGCACAGAAATTAAACATGTAAATCCGAAAATCACAGAACAGGACCTAAGAACGCTCCAGAGCTTAGAGAGGAATGGGTCCAGGTCTGTAAGAAGGGAACCATGCAATATCATGCCATGTTACAAACAAACTGGGCCAAAGGGCAGACGGGGTTCCAAATGGAAGACAAGAATGTATCTGAAGAAATTTGAAATTCCTATCTATTTTCCGAAAGTCTGAGAGGGGCAGGAATAATGGTGCAGACCTGTAATTCTGGCACTCGAGGCAAAAGCGGAGGATTAGCCACAAATTTAAGTAACAGACAAGACAGGACTTCAGTCCGAGAAGAGGAAGTGGGAGGGAGAGACACCCAGACAGCCTGCCCATTCCTCAGCCCCAACTCTGGTTAACCATTAGCAATTAGAGCCCACCTGCTCTGCCTCAGCATCTGAAGCCAGCCAGCCACCGCTCTCCGGTCCCAGCTCCCAGTCACCTTTGACGTTGAAGACACGGAGACTTTGGCCTGAATCCCAAGTCGCCTACTAGGTCAGGGAGTCAGTAGAGTGTCTGGCCTCACACCCAGTCTCCTCCCACCTCTGTTTCCTTCTACAGTTCTTTTCTGTTTATAAAATACACCATGTTGTTGGGTTTTTTTTTTTTTTCTTCTTTTCTTAGTGTTCTTTGTTTTGTTTTGTTTTGTTTTTGTGAGACAGGTTTCTCTGTGAAACAGCCCTGGCTGTCCTGGAACTCCTTGTTTTGTTTTGTTTTTTGAGACAGGTTTCTCTGTGTAACAGCTCTAGCTGTCCTGGAACTCAATCTGTAGACCAGGCCTGCCTCTGCTTCCCCAGTGAGGGGATTAAATGCATGCACCACCACCATGCCGGCTTCTTTTCTCAGTATTGTAGTATTTTTCTTTCTTTCTTTTAATTTATTTACCTCTATTTTATGTGCATTGGTGTGAGAGTGTCAGATTCTCTAGAACAGACAGTTGTGAGCCGCCATGTGGGTGCTGGGAATTGAACCCGGGTCCTCTGGAAGAGCAGCCAGTGCTCTTAACCGCTGAGCCATCTCTCCAGCCCTGCAGTATTTTTCTTTTCTCTCTGTATCCTAGAGTCCTGGCTGCCCCAGAGTCTCTGTGACTGAACCTCCTGAAAGAAAAGACTGCACATCTTAAACTCTCTCTTCTTCGTCTCCTTTTAAACAAAACTCCTGCGTCTCCATCCCACCTTTTCTCTTTTCACCGACCATTCCTCTGTGTATGTCCCTTCCTCTACATGGCAACCTGCTACTGATCTCACTGTGATTTATTTCTTCTTATTTTTTTTTCCACTCATAACCACAACTCACACACAAGGACACATAGTACTGGTATTGGTGTCTCTTTACTCTCCAAAACAATGCTAAAGGAAAGAATGATTGCTCTATAGGCAACTGGCACTCCATTTTCATGGTGAGTTTATTGCTAGACTACCACTGAGGAGAGAGCCTGGTGCTTTGCACAAGTGAAAAAAAAAAAAAAAAAAAGCATCAACTCACCTCCACAACAGACTTTCCTACCCTGCAAATACCCCCAGTAAGGTAGAAAGGTGAGTTGAAATAAAGAACTGCACTTAAGGAGTGGAACCAGCCTGAGAGAAAGAAGGCAGTATACCCAGAAAGGTAAAGCCATCTTTGGTGATTTTTATAAGAATGGCTCCCATCGGCTCATAGATTTGAGTACCTGGTCACCAGAGAGTGGCACTATTTGAAAGTATTAAGAGGTGTGGCCTTGTTGGAAGAACTGTGTCACTGGGGGGTGCTGTGGAATAATCTTTTGTACACTGTGAAGATGTGTCTTTGTCAAGGCACCTTCTGATTGGTTTAATAAAGAGCTGAATGGCCAATAGGTAGGCAGGAAGAGGTTAGGCGGGACTTCTGGGCAGAGAGAGAAGGGGAGATGTGAATTAGGCACAAGAGAGACACCACAGACATGGAAAAGAAACAGGAGGTGCGAGATAGAAGAGAGGTAAAAAGCCATGAGACAAAACATGGATAAATAAAAAAAAAAAAATGGGTTAATCTAAGTTGTAAGAGCTAGTGGGACAAGCCTAAGCTATAGGCCAAGTTTTTGTAAGTAATAGTAAGTCTCTGTGTCATGATTTGGGGGCTGGCAGTCCAAGAAAGCCTGATACAGGGGTGTGGGCTGTGAAGTTTCAAAAAAAAAAAAACATTCCAAGCCCAGAGTCTCTCTCTTCCTGCTGCCTGCGGATCCGATGTTTAAC